CTCCCGGGCTGGTGGGGCAGCCCCACTGCAGGTCCTTGGCATCGCCCCCTGCCCCCCGGGTTAAAAATGATAAAAGAATGGGGTTTTTTGGGGGAAGATGGGGAAGGGGTGCAGGGACGCTCCCCCCATGCTCCCAAGGCTGTCCCTGGCAGATGCCGCTGCTGAGCACCCAGCATCTCCATGGCCACGAGGAGCTGCACTTGGCGCATCTGGTGCTCAGCTTCATCACCATGGGCTACGTCTGGCAGGAGGGCGAGCAGGGCGCAGCAGAGGTGAGAGCGGCACAAGGCAGGGGATGCAGCTCCCAGGACTCATCCCGTGGAGCAAAGCCCCTTTCCCGAGGTCACCCCTCCTGCCTGGCCCCCCCAGTCCACCCCGACTGTCCCCACGTTCTCCTTGTGCCCTTCAGGTTCTGCCCCGAAATCTCGCCATCCCCTTCTGGGAGGTGTCGCAGGCCCTCGGCCTCCCCCCCATCCTCACCCATGCGGACCTGGTGTTGGCCAACTGGAAGAGGAAGGACCCCAGTGGGTAAGCGGGTGAATACCAGCAGACCGAGCGCTGTTCCTGCCATGGTCAGGGCACAGCAGTGAGCCCCGGCAGGACCCATCCAGCACAACGGGGACAAACGGTCCCCAAACTGCTCCTGTTCTGCCAAAAATCGCCCCCATCACTGGGGGCCTGTCTCACGGAGGTCTGGGGAAGGGTCTTGCTGGGTTGGGGGCAGTGGAGCCCTCGGGAGCTGCAGCTGTGGGTGCCCAGTGGGGAACTGGAGGCAACTGGGAGCATCTGGGAGCATCTGCCCAGGGGACAGTGACTTGTTTGAGTCCCACGGAGCAGGGTCTGTTGCTGAAATGATTTCTAATGTCTCTTTCTCTGCTTTTCTCGTGCATTTGTTGGCTACAACCGAAATGCCTGCAGGCCTCTGGAAATTGAGTAAGTGTTTAAGATGCTTGTTTATTTTCTACCAGCGTTAGCTCTGTTTGAATTGGCTTGGCACTCCAACACTGCGTGGCTGTGCTTAGGTCCAACCTATCTCCTGATACCCAAGCGCAACAAAACCAGCTCCGTCTTTGGCACAAAATGCCACTGCAACACCAGCAAAAGGGTTCCTGATCCCTCCAAACCAGAGCAGCCCCTCTCCCCTTTGCTCTGTGCCTCTTGTCCTTGCCTGGGGCGTAGGAGGGTGCTCAGCACCCAGCAGTTTTGGGCTCAGCGGGTCCTGGGGTGTGCAGGGAAATCCCGATCTCCTTCCTGACCCCGTGTGCTCGGCCCTGCAGGAACCTGGACCCCATCATCTCACTGCCGGGGGGACAGAGCCTGCGAGGCTTCGTCCTCGTCACCCTCCTGGTTGAGAAAGCAGCGGTGCCTGGCATCAAGGTAGGGCACTGCCATGACCCATCGGGGACGTGCATCCCCTGGGGCTCTGCTCGCTCCCAGCAGCATCCATTCCGTTCCCTCCCTGCTCGGGGCTGGGCACGGGGCAGGGCAGGCACGGGTGGCAGTGGGTGCGCGGATGTCCCAGCCCCTCCATTGCTCGTGCTCTCCATCCTCTCCCAGGCAGTCGTTGACGCGGGCGGTGCCGTTGTGCGCCGGGACGAGGAGACCCTGCACAGGGCCCTGCGGGAGCTGGCGGAGGCCATCGGGGACATGAGCGGGGCGCTGAAGCGGATGCATGGTAACGGCGGTGTGCGTTGGCTCAGCGTTAGCGTGAACGTGCTCGCACGTGGCCTGTAAGGCACCTCTGGAGCGATGGAGCGGGAGGAGGTGGGAATGATCTGGGGATGTGCAGTGTGGTGCGTGGTGTCTGAGCACCCAAATGGGCTGGGGGTGAACGTGGGGGGTGTTTTTGGGATGGGCGGCTCTGAGCACTGACACTGTGCTGCACACAGGGAGCTCGTCCGGGGGCAGCTCATGGTGGGGAAGGGACACCAGCCCTGTGCAATGCTCTGGGTCCTTCACTGGGCACAGATTTGGGACGCCTCGGCTGTGACAGGGGGAGCACAGCCCCATAGGCACTGCTGATGCTGCCTGCGTCTTGCAGCTGTCTCATCTGTGGTCTCCTTTCTCCTAGACTATGTGGACCCAGCAGTGTTTTACACCGTGATCCGGATCTTTCTCTCTGGGTAAGCAGCACACATTTCCCCCCAAAGCCCCCGTGTGGGCAGGGGGAGCAGGGATGCACAGGGAAGGGGCAGCGCAGGTTGGGTACAGGGTCCCCGGGGCAAAGGCACACGCAGTGCCCCTCTGCGTGTTAAGGAACCATCCACCAGGCCTCTTGCTGGTGCTCCATTGCAACTCTCTAATTAAAAGCCCAAATACTGCAGTAAAGTCCCCTGGGCAAGGCAGAAGCAGGGCCGTGGGAGCCCAGCGCCACGGCTCTGCCATCCCTCACCTCCCCGCGGGGCTGCGAGCATCCCCAGCTGCTCCGCTCCCGCTCTCAGGGCTTTCTATTTTTGCTTCTCTTCAGCAGATCTCAGCATTCCCAAGCCAAGAGGCTCCCTGCATCCTGATCAGGCTTCTCGCATTTTTTTATCCAAGCTGACCTTGTCCTGATGGTCATCAGCCTGGAAAAACATGCCTTTTAAATTCCCTTCTGCTTATAAGAACTTCCCACTAGTAAAGGTTACTATAAATACATCCCTGGGAGAGCTAAAAATATTACATTATTTGGTAATGAATCTATCTTCTCTGCATTTTGTGCAGAATCTGCTCCAGCAGTCAAATGGCCTTAGCAGCCAGCACCGAAAGCTTCATGAAATGGTGCATTCTTCAGCAGGTCAAGAGATGTTTTTGTGCCAGGCACGCTGGCTCTCTGAAATCATAACTCCTCCTTTGTGAGCGAGCGTTCATCCGTTTTTGCACAGAGCCGGATGACGGGGCTGAGTTAATGGTGTAGGGGGGGAGGCACCGGTGCTGCCCGGTTCCTGGGGACGAGCAGCTTTATGAGAGGGAGGAGATCCCATTACGGGCTTCTCTGCTGAAATAAGTAAAGTCAGGGTGCCCTGTGCTGTCTGCAACGACATCACCTTGAGAGTGAAGAGCAGATTTATCCCATCACACGGTTTGATGTCCATGGTTATCCCAGGTCTGGGGACAAGGCTGAGCGAGGAGGAGGAGGAGGAGGAGGAGGAGGTCCATGGGTGAGGAAGGTTTCGCTCAGCCCCGCCAGCCCGGGGTCCCCTCTTGCAGCCCCCTGTTCTGTCCCCAGCTGGAAGGACAACCCCGCCGTGCGGGCCGGGCTGCGGTACGAGGGGGTGTCCGAGGAGCCCCTGGCGCTGTCGGGGGGCAGCGCGGCACAGAGCACCGTCCTGCACGCGTTCGACGAGCTCCTGGGGATCCGGCACCGCCAGGAGAGCGGTGAGTGTCGCGCTCTGCCTTTTTCCATGAGGGGCAGGGGGAACCGAGCCAGAGCGACCCCCACGGCTGTGCCAGGCACCCACCTCATCCCCCCCAAAATCCTCACAGAGCCCAGGTCGTTAGGGACGGGGTCCATAAATGAGGCTCTGCGGGCGCATCCTCACCGCTGTGAATTCCCAGAGGGGCAGAGTTTGCTGTGTGCCTGCCGGCTCTTCACTGAGGTGGTGTGTGGTGCAGGGATGGGGAGCAGAGCGCGCCAGCATCCTGCCAGTACCACAGCTCATCCATCCACAGAGCTTGGCCTTAGGCTGGCCCACAGCAGAATATAAATCACCAAAACCACTCCAATAGCAAAAAAAACAAACCCAAAGAACCTGAAACCGAAAGGCTGAGAGCAAGGGCTGAAACCTGCCTTTTAGGGGTAAGACCAGCCCTAACGGAGCATTGACCTAGTTGGAGGCACTGAGAGCAGAGGAGGACAGGGGCTGCTCTCTGAGGTGCTTTAACCTCCTCACCCACAATTTATCTCTCCCTTTGCGGTGTCTCGCAGCCGCCTTCCTGCTCAGGATGAGGGACTACATGCCCTGGCCCCACCGAGCCTTCGTGGAGGAGCTGCGCCGTGCCCCATCCCTGAGGCACCACGTGCTCCGCTCCGGCGACGCGCGGCTCCGCG